AGGAGTCTATGACATTATTTTCTCAAATAAATAATATTTCAATGAGAAAAAGCTTATTTCCTTTTTTTTTTTTTTTTTTTTTTAAATTAATTGCATGACCCTAAACACTGGGATTTTTTGGTCATCCATTTAGCTGAAAAAAGCCACCCAAACTCTTTGTAAAACATGCTTCTTCAAAGAGACTCCATCTTACTGCAGTGGGATAGGGTGGTTTTTAAATAGTTTCAATGTTGGGTTTTTTCTTCAATAAAATTGTTTTCCTTTGAGATATTGACCCACTGTTTGATAAAGTTTTACTATTTGGCAAATTATATTATTTTTCCATTTAAACATGTTCTATAATAATCATATGTGGTGTTACTGTGTTACCAGTTGAAGTAAAAGAAGTGGAGTATAGAGAAGAGAGAGAAAAAAAAGAAATGGAAATATTAGAGCTAACCAGACAGCTGAAAATTCAAAATGAAGAGAAGCAGAATGAAATCATTAAAATGCAGATAGAGGTATGATTACAGCATGAGTTAATTGGGCATTGGGTAAGCTAAGAGACTGTGTAGTGAAAAATGTCAATTAGTTCTTAAGAACATAACATGATGGAACCTAGGAAATACAAAAAATAATTGTCTTTACAAACATCAGTGGCATGTGCTCCCTTCCACCGTGGTATCTGAGTCACTTCTGCTCAGGAATCAAATTCTGTCTACTGTATAGGTGTCGTGGTGTAACCCTGGCCAGAAACTAAGCCCCTCCCAGCTGTTTACTTCCTCTGCTCCTCCCCCTACCCACAGTGGGAGGGGGCAGAGAATCAGAAGGGTAAAAAGCAGGAAACTCCTGGGTTGAGGTAGAAACAGTTTAATGGGTAAAGCTAAAGCTGCATGTACAAGAAAAGCAAAACAAGGAATTAATCCACTACTTCCCATCAGCAGGCATGTGTTCAGCCATCCCCAGGAAAGCAGTGTTCCATCACACGTAACAGTTACTTGGGAAGACCAAAAACATTGCTTCAAATATGCTTCCCCCTTCCTTTTCCCCTCAGCTTTATATGTTCAGCATAGCATCATTCAGTATGGAATATGTCTAGGCAGTTGGGATCATCTGTCCCAGCCGTGTCCCCTCCCAGCTTCTTGTGCACCCCCAACCTACTCACTGGGAGGGTGGTTTGAGGAGCAGAAAAAGCCTTGACTGTGTAAGCACTGCTCAGCTGTAACAAAAACATCTCTGAATTAGCAACACCATTTCCAGCACAAATCCACAAACTAGCCCCATACTAGCAACTATGAAGAAAATTAACTTGCTCCCAGCCCAAACCAGCACATTCTCCACCCCTTATTCTATACCATGTATGTCATGTGTAGGTCCCATGGTATCCAATATATCTGTATTAACCACCATACCCCTTCCAATGTTTGATTTAATACACAGACATCATTCCCCTAGTCTAGGCATCACCCTTGTAAAATGTCTGTAAAATGTCCTCAAAACATCTGCTGAGTTCATTTAGTCCATGACTTTGGGTTCCACCTGTTACGGTGTTCACTCAGGATGGGAGAGGTGGTGTGTTTTGTGGAGTTACTGGGCACGAAAGCTGGCTCAGGTCAGGTCAGTGCTACACTTGGAACTGCTTCTTGTAAAGTTTGTCCTGCGTTGGTTCAAGTGGCTCCTGCTGTAGTTACTCCTGTAAGATGCAACTCAAATCATGGGTTACAACAATTTAAAGGTATATCCATTACTATCTGCATTACTATAAAAAAAAACCCCACAATGTTTTCTGCTAATTTTTACTTTTTTATGTTCTGAATGCTGGTAACATACAGATTTTTTTTTTTAAGTTTCCAAAAGCTTAAAGACTTCTATGGAGAGTTGAGTGACGGAATTTAACATATATTTTGTAGCTCAGGTTTTAAGCCACTCAACAGACAAGCAATTAAGGAAATACTTTAAACCCTTTACATACAGAAAAATAGAATCATAGAATGGTTTGAGTTGGAAGGGACCTTAAAGATCATCTAGTTCCCACTCCCCTGCACGGGCAGGAACACCTCCCACTAGATGAAGTTGCTCCAAGCCCCATCCACCCTGGCCTTGAACACTTCCAGGGAGGGGGGCATCCACAGCTTCTCTGAGCAGCCTCTTCTAGTGTCTCTTCACCCTCACAATAAATAAACTCTTCCTATAAATGTAATCTCTAAGTACCCTCTCTCAGTTCAAAATCATCCCCCCTTGTCCTCTCCCTACACACACTTGTAAAAAGCCCCTCCCCAGCTTTTCTGTAGCCCCTTCAGGTACTGGAAGGCCAGTATAAGGTCTCCCTGGAGCCTTCTCTTCTCCAGACTGAACAGCCCCAACTCTCAGCCTGTCCTTATAGCAGAGGTGCTTCAGCCTCTGATCATCTTCATGTCCTTCCTCTGGACTCACTCCGACAGCTCGATATCCTTCCCGTGCTGAGGACACCAGAACTGCCCACAGTACTCCAGGTGGGGTCTGATGAGAGCAGAGCAGAGGGGCAGAATCACTTCCCTGGTCCTGCTGGCCACACTTCTTGTGATGCAGCCCAGGACTGGGTTGCCTCTCTGGACTGCAGGCGCACATTGCTGGCTCATGTTGAGCTGCTCATTATTAAGATGTGGAAGTGTTTGGGCCAAGTTATCCTTGGAACATGAGGAAAGGGTGATGGTTTCAGCAGTTTTTAGCATCCACTTCTTTTTCTCCTCCTGCAGACATACAGTTGAGGAGCCTCCACATTTTTTTAGCAGTTGTCTCTATTTGTCTAAGTGCATTTGCTTTATCATATTTATACTATTTGCTTTTTGCAATCTTTTCAGACATTTTTTAAGAAACATAATTTGTAAAGACCTTCTTTTTTAAATGAACTTCAGCAGCTTCATTATCCTAGGATTAAATAGTAGGCAAGCTTGTTATCACTATTTTTAGATTTAATATTCCAATTTTTAAAGGGTGGAAATCGTACATGTACTGTTTAACATACTTTTCCCTGTTGATTCTTAACGTTTTGCCTTTTCCTGATTCTTTCAGTTCAATGCTAAACTAGCAAGAGTTCAGAATAAAACAACAAAATCATTTTCAGAGGCTTCCGTCTTGCCACAGAGTATCTACCGAAGGGTATGTGCTTTAATAGCCTGCGGTCTGCAGATACTAAACACTGTTACAGTCTGTTTTAAACAGCAGTTCTGTGGGGTTTTACTGTGTTTGCAGCGCAAGGAAACTTTGGGGGTGGGAGGTGGAGGACTTCAATCCCTTATGGATCCATCTTACCTTCCCACACATCCCTCCCATATGTGGACAGCTGATTTCATGTCTCTTCACACTGATGTTAGTATAGTTGGGATTCAACAACAAAAGCACATGTGAATTGGGTTTACTGCAGGAGTGTTAACCTAGGAACTTAAGATAGACATAAATGACTTGTGATATAAATTAATGTGTGTTATTGTTTCTGGAGGCTTGGGGCTTTGGGATGTAGCAAAAACAGGATTCTGGGGAAATTACCTTTGTCATTTTGTGATACAAAATACTGAGAAAAATACACTTTAAAAAATACTTCTCATTAGCAGCTGCATATTGTATTGGTGCATAATTCTATGTGATGTTTAACAAGGAGGCCTTTGCTTGCATTGTTACAGAAGCTGCAGCATCTCCAGGAGGAGAAAAACAAGGAAATTGAGGTTCTTCGAAATACCATAAGAGACTTGGAGCAGCGTCTTAATAAAGGCCAAGTCTCTCACTTCAGGCAGAGGCGGTTCTGAGTAAATGACATGAAGACCTTCAGTGGTACATACAATGAGAAATAGAAACAGTGTATTTCAAACCACACACCTGAAAGTAAAAACAAGATATGCAGAAATGCAGATATATTTTTTTTTATTGAAAATGCTCTTGTTGAATATTCCAAAGGTGTGCATTCTGTGTATATTCAAGGCTTCTTTCTTGCTAATCAGCATTCACAATAAAGAGTGTCAGGTTTCGTAGGAGTAATAGTTTCCCTATTAAACCATCATTAATTATGGTGTACACTTTCAAAGCAGTTGTCCTTTCTTGCATACTCTTTTCTTCACCCAGGAATCCTTCCAACAACTATAGTTTTACTTCAATTCAGTTAATAAAAAGTTAGAAATGTTAAGCTACACAGTGAAGTTATACAAGTTAAAGCAGCATATCCCCTTACTAATCAATACAGATTTATAAAATTCAGCACCATTATAAACAAAGATAAACATTAAACTGAGGTTAAATTTGTTCTGCCCCTCCTTTTTATGATATTGATATTGATTCTGCATTATGAGTTGTTAACACTGCTTCTCACTTTAGGCACAATCTTACTGATTTAGTGGGATTTTACAAGCTGTAGCAGCATGCATTAATGGACCTTGATACCATATCTAAGCCACGAAAGTTAAGCATATAAAGGTTACTTTAAAGTAATGCAATTACTGCTTGTATCTTACATTTGAGATAAAAAGTTTTCTTGGCATGTTGCTTAGGAATAAGCTTTTCTTGTACATAAATTGTATCCCCAGGCCAGAAAGAAAGAAAAAAAAAAAAAAAGTTTTGAATGTATTCCATCCTGTTAATAAAAAAAAATAAATGATTAAAATATCTCTTTTGGTTATCTTCTATTCTTGGTTGCAAAACATCAGACAGGAGCCCCTAGGTCATAGTTTATGCTCCTGTCCTCACAAATGCAAGCAGAATGTTAGAAGAGAAACAAGAAAGATAAATCAATCAAGAATGCAGACACCTTCCCAATGCAACTGAAAAACAAACTGTGGATCAGTTAAATTATGAAGCTTTTCACTGATGGGCTTTGACAGGTACTGTTCTGAAAGCACAGCTCTGAAAGTCTACTTTGCAATATTTTGACTCTACACACCTGTCTTTCTATAATTTTTAATTAAGGGCAATAAAAACAGTTAATTTGCTAATTTTTTTCACTCTTTCAGCCATATTACTTTAGGTAGTAGGACTCCCCTGCACTTTAAATGTGTTTAGTTTGTTTTTCAGGCTCAGTTCCTTGCCTCTTCCTGTCACTCTCAGGTGTCACTGGTTTCACTTGCTCTTGCTGCTGATGACTGTCAGGCAGCAGTGAGCAGACGTCACTGTCAAGATTCAGTGATGTCCTCTGCTGACAGCTGTCCGTGTCACCTGCAAGAATTTGGAAGTGCTCCACGACACTGTCAAGTGACAGAATTTCCTAGCTCTTCAAACAAAAGGTGTCGACAGTGTCAGCATCAGCTACTAGAAGTTGTGTCTGATGCTGTCGGCCAATTTCAAGTTAACTGGTTTTTACAGTTGGCTTTCCCTTTTTTTCATAGCTTTTTCTCTTGTGTAATTTCCACACTTCCTCCTGGAGGAACAGCATCTACCTCTTCATGACTACCTGTCTGATCATGCCTGCTCTGGCCAAAGACCCTGTGGTGCCGACCGCTGTGAGGGTGTCTGTGAGCTCCAGAAGGTGCCTGATGGTTCTCGGTTTTGGAATGATGACTGCCCTTGCCATGGTGGTGCCTGTGTCTGTTCCAGTTCTGCTGGTGGGAATGTTGACCAGTTGGACTGGGTTCGAGCTCTGCTAGCTTTTCATCTGCTTTTTTAGTGATGTTTTCACATATATCATCAATGTCAGGTTCCTGCAAAACAGAAGCTTGCATTAAATACAAGGCAGTGTATTTAATTAAACTAGCTGTAAAGTATTAAATAACATCTTTGCAGAACCAAATTTAAATCATTTGTGCCACTTTGTTGACTAAAGATATGAATGTATCAAAAGAACCGGTTTTACAACATCACTAGACAGGGCTCTTAATGAAACCTAGGAATTCTAATTGGTACCAATTTTCTAGGATCCTACATCTGACCTCTCTGAGGCCTACAGTGAGCTGGAAAACTGTGAAATGGGATTAAAAAAATATTCTTCTCACTGAACTTGCATGACTATGCATGTACCATTCTTGATAATCCTTTAAGTGGTCCTGATCTTCAGTTACATATAAAACAAAGCTACCCTTCTTTTATATCAGTGATTTGTCACCCTGTATTATCATTTTTTAAGTAACTATTGTGTAGTGTGTTTACACGTAAACCAAAAGGAACAGAAACTCAAATCCAGCTGAGATTTTATTGCCAGGATTTAAATAAAAAACTAAGCACCTACCCATCCCCAAAACCTAGAGTAGCTAATTTCTCACTAGCTGTACATGACTCTAGAAGCAGAATTAGCCTCCAAGACTTTATTTAGATTTCTGATTATTTGCATTTCTATGAATGGCAGGAGTTCAGATAATCAGTATATTAAGTTGGATCTAATTAACTCTGAAAAACATTTAAAAACTCTCAGTCAAGACACATTAAATGTTTAAATTCTAAGTCATGACTTTTTTGATTAATCACACTAAAATATTCCAGTCAATATACCAGTCAAATCCAGTCTCCTTTCCTAGTGTACATATAGAATAAAACAAGGAAATACCATGTAAGAGCAGTTTCCACACTTGTTTTCACAGTAAGCAACCTTAATAGAATCTTCTACATATTGGAAAGTCAGGAAGGAATAGGGCAGACCCAGATGATACACCAAACGGCCACATCTAAGGAGAGAAAGAGCTTTGTGGTTACATACAGATAAACATACACCTAAAACTAAGTATCTCCTCTTATCATACCTTATTTTATTCACATCAATCCACCCACGCTGCACAGTCCCAAGGCAAGTGTTTCTGTCCAAGGCATTCGCAGGCAAAACCAAGCTCTGCCTTACAAACTTCTGCCCGCTCAGCTGCACCAGTCAGGAGTGTGAAGCTCCATTTCTGGCTGGTGCAGAAACTCTACTGGCGGAAGCCTCTACTTTAGTGGCATCTAGGCTAGCAAAGCACTCCTGCTACAGACCTACCCCACCAACAGGGAGGGCTGTGTGCCCAGCGGTGCAAATTGCCACGTGGTTGTTGCATCCAAACAAATAACGTGTTAATGAAACATAACATGCTTTTTTATTATTATTTGAATGTGCATTGTATGCATCTGTGTTGCTGATTTAGTGTGTGTGAGGGGCTTTTTAGGGGGGATATTTCCCTCTGTCTGTACTTGAGCATTCTGGGATGCACTTGGCTGCACCACTGGTGGAGTTCAAAGGAGCTGGAATAAATGCAGAACTTGTCCAGAAGGGCACTTTATTAAGTACCTCAACTGCAATGTCACCACTCAGTCCTCCAGGCTTCAGCTCCCTACCTGCCTGCAGTGCACATCCATGGCCAGCAACAGGCACGGGTTGCGTTGCCAATGGCACAATAAGGACATCCATTCCTAGAACCATCATGGATCGTGGCCAAACTAGTGCCAAACCAATTCCTAGCACAGCTGTGCCCTGTGTGTTGACAGCACAGAATTGTTCAGCGTTTCAAACACTGTGGGCCAGGCATCAGCTCCTGGGCCCCCGCACGGATCACGTACAGGCTTGGCCTGTTTATCTGTCTGAGGACAGAAGCCTTCCCTACTTCAGTGTGTTTGTTGCTGTAACATGCAATCACTCTCTAAAGATCATCCCAGTGCATCCCAGTCCCTTGAAACCTAATTTAGCCAATTAGTTCAATTTCATCACATAACAAAAAAAAAAAAAAAAAAAAAACCACAAAAAAACAAAAACAAAAAAACCCAAAACCGTAAAACTAAACAAAACAAAAAGTAACTTTCTAATTCCTTATATAACTTAATTATGTTTCAGTATGAAGAGAGAGTGCTCATTACAATATCTTAATAGTAATTAGGATGGACATGTTAGAAGTTCTGGACTTGCTGAATGATTTCCATCAGATCAAAACTGAAAAATCAGGATTTCAGTTAGAATTATTACTGATTCTGTCAAAATACGTATGTCCCAGAATCCTGTGATCAAAAAGCTATTTTCTTCCAAAGTTTTAAGTTTCACCTAAAGACTAATTTTTCTGTATGGCTACATGACATTTTTAACCACTTCCCTCAAAATATTTTCATGAGAACTCAGATAACTCAGATAAAGAAAAAACTATTTATCCCTAACTTACTTAAGCAAGAGCAGACACTTGTTTTGTAGCCTCCCTTTTCCAGTAAATGCAAGTGCTTAACTTTGTGCAACTTAGAAGTTGTTTATGATGTCTTTGTTGTGAGGTCATCAGGTTACTTGCTAATAAGTGAAATAATATAGAGGTTTGCAAGAGTTCACTTTAAATACAGACAAATATTTTCCTGTGTTCACTGTAAACACAGACCTGTCATAGATGAGAAAGTCATCTTTGTTTCCATTTAAGGTAGTCCAGACATCAGGTTGCTGCTCATCCTGCTGGTAAACAGTAATGTAGTCTGAAACACTTTCTTTCAATAGGTGAACTTTCCTCTGGGAAGGAGTTTCCTGATGGTTGACAATCACATACGAGATGTTGACCAGGCCTTCATTCTCTAATTTCACTCGCAGTTCCTCCAGTCTAGTGGAGAATGTAAAGAAGAAAGATCATAAATCATTATAGAATGGTAAGATTTGCCACATTCTACAAAAGTCAATATGCTCATCTTGCTTTTATTACACTAAATGTTACTTTCTCCCAGTTTTAATAGCAACAGTCTAACACTATTAAAACATTCTTGCCTTGTGCCATGGCTTTCAACAAACCAGACTCTACAGTCTCCTGTCCTTCTAAGTAGAATGCAGTACTGAGTAAAGCAGACGTGTTTTCAGATGGAATTCAGTGCTATTTCTATTTCAGTTCTCTCATGCTCTTCATGGTGTAACACAGTTAATTTATATAATGTCCTTACTTAAATGCTGTGGGTTTGGTGACATAGTTGGTTGAAGAATGCATAACGTAAATGCAGCGGGAATATGGATAATCAAGAAAGGAAACCTGCAGTAAAAGGCCAACAGCTCTCCTACTCACCTGGACATGGCTGTTTTCTATAATAGTCAGGAAAGGGATGGTGCAGCCATTGGGCCAAAAGGATGGCTACAGAAATTGTGCACCACCTGACAGTTAACTGATGTTCCCCTTTGGTGTCCCATCACAAAAGTCTTTCTTTGCTCTATGATGCAGAAAGATGCTTTCTCGCTGTTTGATGTGGGTGTTTTTTTGTTATAGTTGTTTTCACTTGTATCCTTCCTATTGAATTGCTCTAAAAAAAGTTTTGCTTTTTTTTTTTTCCTTTAAGAAAATAGTCTAGAACTTGAAAGTTTCTTTAAAATCTTTCTAAAATGTACAGAATCAAACCAAACTACCGTGATAGCCAACCACAAAGCCAAATTTTTACTTCACTGGAACCAGAGATTCACAACCACTTTTTCAAATCATCTTTCTTAAAAAACTCAGGCTATTATAATATGAAGCTATGCAGCCTAGAGGGGGAAACTAGGATGTTTTTATGGTGGTTAAAGTCAAGCTGTGAAACCAGGGCTGTGAATTTGTAAACCAAAGTGATTTCACAGTCAGTAAAAGAACCCAAGATAAGGGCTGTATGCAACTCCTGTTTGGATCAGCTCAAAATTATTTTCCTCCTGCTGTTACTGTCTTGATACTTAATTACTTGCAGAGAAGTAGATTCTAGAAACCAGAGCAATGTCTCAGGTGTTGTATGAAAACAGAACACTGACGATTTCCTTGAATGCTTCATCTATGTTTCAAAAGGCCATGCTTTACCTTACTTTCTGGATTTCTTTTTTATATCTAGGACCTCTGAACAGGGTTTGGGAAAGCACATTAAAAGCATGTTTTGATTTGCCTTTTTGCCCACAGATCTTGCATAAGAAATCAGTGATCACAGATATCTCTGTTCCAGGTGTTTTAGTCATGTCAGAGAATTGCTGTCTTTTGGCTTCAGCATCTTTACCACATTAATAATCTGCAGCTAACTGAAACAGTCTTGAGGAACAGTCTTTGTTGGATTCTCATGGATTTCATTAATGTCAAGTTGATTATATTTTCGTGTTGTAAATACAATCCATAGAAGATGATCTGTCAGTCAGGACTAAGTCAAGAGATATAGAATCTGAGCCACTGTCACAGAACACTCCTGATGAGAGTTAAGCTGGTCACCAGGTCACACATGTGGGCTGGGGTGGTGGCATTTGAGGAAGCTGGAGTTCATTGAGTGCATTGCAGTTAGGCACACGTATTATTCTCCAATGGCATTAAAAAATTGACCTGTTATTTTTTAACAAAAACTGGGAAAGAGATTTATGCTTACCTGGAAGCCTGCATCAGGCACAAGTATCAGCTAGCTTGGAGGAGAGCCACCACTGTCACTGAACCCCGAGAGTTCAGCATGGGGTTCTCCTCCCCAATACGCCATTCTGGGGGCTCCTTGCAGTTCTGGATCTCTGTCCCTCCTCCTGGGAGGAGAGAGAGAGCCAGAACGAGCCCCAGCCCTGCCCACATGACTGGGCTTTATCTGAAAAGAGAGAGGAAAAAAAACAAAATCAGACCCATGCCTAAAAAATGTTCAGACTCTGAAATTCCCATAACAAACCACAGCAGGATACTGGCTCCACTCAGTTAAAAAAAAAATCAAACCCACCTAACAGTAAGAAAAAATGTGACCTACTTTGTTTACTGTTCTATCATGTTTCTTTCATTTTGCAGTGAAAATGCAGTATTTTGTGGTTGTCGCTGCATGTAAAGAGCTGAAAAGTAAGTGTTCAGAATAAATGGGTTTTCTTTCAGAGCTAGTAGTCGGAGTGCCTTGTTCCTTCCTCTTTATATTTTGTTCTTGTTGGGCTTTAAATCTTCAGTGATTTTAAAGTGGCCTCATTTCTTATGTTTTAAAATCAGGTGTGGTGTGCCACTTCACACCAGTAAGAATCTAGACCAGTTCACTACAGATTCCAGAGTAATTCCACTTGCTAAAAAATACTTGCATCATCAGTGTATTTTGGCACACAGAAAGTACTATAGAGCATGGAAGAAATAATAAACAAACAAACAAACAGCCTTGTTCCTTCCTCTTTATATTTTGTTCTTGTTGGGCTTTAAATCTTCAGTGATTTTAAAGTGGCCTCATTTCTTATGTTTTAAAATCAGGTGTGGTGTGCCACTTCACACCAGTAAGAATCTAGACCAGTTCACTACAGATTCCAGAGTAATTCCACTTGCTAAAAAATACTTGCATCATCAGTGTATTTTGGCACACAGAAAGTACTATAGAGCATGGAAGAAATAATAAACAAACAAACAAACAAATAAATAAATAAATAAAATAGAATTTTATGTCAGTCTGGAGTATTTGGATCCAATCTCTTAACACAAGCACTAGAAAAAAATTGCAAAAAGTGCAAATGAAAATGGAGTTTCAGGAATTCCTCAGATATTACAAAAGATCCTACCTGCACTTAGTCCACTTAATGTTTATGAAAACCAAAGCATAAGAGATATTTTGTAATGATATTTTCCTTTTAGTTCATTTACATAGTATTTTTGGCTTAGTACGTTCAGAAAACACCCATTGTTGAGAAAGTTGTAAAATTATAAAACTTCTCCCCAGTGTCTCCTAGGTTGTGGAATTGTGTAATTTCACCACTCGCATCAAAATCTGACGGTGAACACAGAATATTTTTGAAACAGCAAGTTCTGATAACACATTTCACTGATCTTGTCATATAATAATAATAATAATAATAGCAACAGTAATAATAAAATACTTTAATAACTGAGCTCTTAAAGCAAGAGTCAGCTGCTGCAAAGCTAACACAATTTGTGAACTGCATCTGTCCTCATGTTTTTTCTCCTGCAGTTCTACCAAAAGCATTTTAGTTACAGTACTTTCAAGAACCAACTGCAGTCCAATAGATATCAAGAGGACCATTTTTTCACTCTTCCCACACATCTGGAAAGCTGCCTGCCTTTGTATCCTTTATAAACAAATGAAGCTCCTATGACATCTTGAGTTCTTTCTAAGGCTTTCTATGCTGCAGCACTGGCTCTCAGCGCCAGCAACAGCTGCCTCACCCTTCGAACCAGACCAGAGCCGTGCTCTGCATTACACTGCTCCTCGCATTTCAACCTTCTAGTTGGTTTCCAATGGAAATTTCCACAGTAGGCCTTTTCAGGCGAAGAAATGAGGAGACGCTCTGCCAGATCTTAAGTCATGCAGCTCTCCAATAGCAAAGCCAGCACACTTACCCTCTCCTCCCCCACCTCCTTGGCAGCTCCGCTTAACTCTGCAGCAGAAGAAAACACTGTGGGGGAAAGGGCTGTGGTATTTATACTGCTCTTGTTTATCTCACTTTGCAGATATGGTTCAAAGTTCAGGGAGCTTATTCTGAGTGACCTTGCAAGCAAAGCAAACCCCTTTATCAAAACTAGCCAAAATATTTCTCCATTAACTTATCCCAAGTGGAAACTGTTTACTGCGCAGGATGGCAAGGTGCTTTTGATGCGATGACTTTAAACACCAAGTTAGGCAGTTTGTCAGTCACCCCAGCCCGATGGAGGCAGTGGTACAGTCAGAGGAGGGGCCTGGGCCAGAGAGTCATTATTTTCTGAACACAGTGGTAACCACAGCAAGAGGGGGAAGGCACTTCTCTATTTATAAAAATGATGAGCTAGCAAGTTTTGCTCTCAAATGCTTAGAGACTCGAGTACCCTGCTGAGGGCAGGTCCAGCACAGAGCTCCTTTTGCCCAGCTGCTCTGGAGTATGTCACTTGCTTCTGCAGAACCTGCAGCCCAGATCTTCAGCCATTTAAATCAGTGTGGCTACACAAAAGCCAAGAAGCCCTATCAACCCTCATAGCCAGTTAACTCTCTGTATTACTCCGTTACATTTCCTGAACACCATTGTCACTGAGGTATCTACGGACATTCAGGTTACACTGTTTCCTTTGCTTGCCTACTGAGAGTTCATCCAAGATGGGGTTTATTTTGACAGCAGTTTGCTTGAGTTTAATTTCCTTCCATGTATATGTGTGTTTATGGAGAAATAAATGTTTAAAAACCTGGTGTGCATTCAGAACTCTAGGTGGAAAGATTTGTATTTCTTAGTTCTACAGCCTGAAACTCGTTTCCCAGAGAGATGAGCTTTATGCCTCTAGTTTGGTGTGAGAAATGGAACTGCTGACCTTCGGATTATGCTGTAGAAATCCCATGGAAAGAAGGACAAAGATCTGAAGTTTTATGCAATAGTCTTGGAGATATGATGCAGAAAGCAGACCTCAGACTGGGACTGATTTTTTTTAATTAAAAGGTGGAATGTGCTAACATTCCTTATTTTACTAGAGAAACATATCCTTGTATTCCTCACCAAGATGGGACTAAGCCCTGATAACTGTGATGATGTCCTTTACTATTCCAGATGAGAAGTTATTTGCTAAGCCTCTTGTTTCAGGATAGGGCGTTGATTTTCCATGCTAATGAAATGCTAATAAAGCCCTGAAAGGTTGACTGGAGATATTTGGTATGCATCATCCCTGTCAAATCCTAAATAAGCACTGAAGCACCAAAAAGAAATTATGCAGGTACAGATCTATTAATAGAGAGAGGAATAAAATGCAGCTCAGTCACAATTGATACTTACACTCTTGACAATTATTGCTGCTACACTGAAGATACTATGAAAGAAAGAGCATTATTGTACTCTCATTTCTTTTTCAGCTTTGTAGCACAAGGCTTGATTAACAAGTGCTGAGCCTTTAAACCACATGTGAGACAAGTGGGTGCTGCTGAGACCAGCAGCTCACAAGTACTGAAGAATAAAGGGCCCAGAGTAAACTGAGCTGAAGCAGTTAACTTACAGAACAGCTCCCTACTAGGGAGAGAACCTAGAGGATGGAAACATAAGTTGCTCACTACAGAAAAGTTGGCATTTCCTCCCCTCTGCAGTATCTAGAGACACTTGCAGACCCTCAGTTCCCTTACAGAAACATGAGAATCAGCTGTTGGAAGCAACTACCACTGTGCCAACAAATACTACTTATTATATTATTTATTTATCTTACAATAAATGTATAATAAACTTTCTAATATTAAGAGCGTAACTACATTCATAGTGCTAAGCCATAGCCATCTTGCTTTATAACATTCACCTTACCTGAGATAATTGTCCTGTCTCAAGACTTAATGAGAAGAAATGTTCCTCTATCTCAAAGCAGGTGATAAGGAATATTATATTGTTGGTGGTGGGTTTAGACAGAACTAATCCGGTTGTTTTGGAAATGTACAAATTAAATATGTCTAAAATTGTCTTAAGAAGTACCATTTCTGAATGTAAAAATAAAATAAAAAAAAAGAATTCACTTCCACAATTATTATTTTTTTTTTACAAGTGGTAGAATAAAGATGTTAATGATTGTTGAATTTGGAGTTTAATACCCGGAACATTCAATTTTTTATATTAACCTCATTAAATTTGTAGGATCCTGTAGCCCTTTGTCCAAAATGTCCAAAGAAATTATTGTCTTGAATCTTAATTTTGCTTTCCACTGCAAGTATTTTCTTACTTGTTGAGTATGTTCCAATCTCATTGCAGGAGGCAATTATGAACCCTAATTTTGACAAGTCTTCAGTTTCACACAATAATTTTTATAATTATCATCCTGTTGCTACTTGCTGTCTTTCTTATTTGGGGAGAATAATGGTCCCAGTGGAAATAATAGCCCCCTTCCCTTCTTGTTGAACATAAACAAAAGTTTGACATATTTCAAACTTTTCAAAGGATCACAACACAGAAATAGCAGTGTCTTTGGAAATCAATTGATGTTTGTTATTTTTGTTATCTAGATTGGTAATGTATTCATTTATTTAAAAAAAAAAAATCTCAAATGGACATAGAATTATGAGGCTGTGAGTAATTATATTCTGGTAAAGTCTGCTGTAGTGATTTGCAACATATTTAAATAATGAGAGGACAGAGGCAGAGCACATATCCAGCACGAATTCTTCCGTGAGACCTTAGGACTTGAGTGTTTTGCTCTTGTGGCTGAAGGATGTCACAAGCAGGGAATTCAAAGTCCACTGACCGATTGTCTCTACTCAGTCTTCTCATTTTTTTCTCATTTTATAACACTGTAACTGTGTCAACTCAGTGGAGTTATTCATACTTTACAGTGGAATAAACTGCAATAAAAACAGGCTGTTGAGGTTTACTTAATGCTTACATAAGCAAATTTCCATTTTTTTTATAAGGCCTTAAAGTCTTGGTTAAATACTGTAAATAAAGGGTAATTTACATGAAGGCTAAGAAGAGATATTTAAGGAAAGTAAATTCAGCAGAATAATTAGAAACACAAGTTTATTAGTTAAAGTAACTCCAGAAAGACTGATAGTGGTATAATATTGGTCTGGTGCTCCTTCCATGTGAGATCCAGAGCAGCATTAGATAACTAGATGAATACTTCTCAGAATTCAAAGGAAGAAACAAAAGCTGACATCCTCTGATTTACAGGTC